TCTCGCGTCTCTCCTCCGGTACACAGCACCGTAGTGTGGAGTTGCATTAGGTAACGCGAGATACGGTTGATACTTGCGCATTAGTTTCTGTTATGGATCAGTATCAACAGTCCTGCCAGTAACGTTACTATATTATCAATGCTACTTTAGTTATAGCCTGATATATGATAGCTAACTTTACAATGTTGTGATGTGACGTTAGCTAACATTCTGTAGCTAACGCCGGTCACTCACCAAGATAGCTGCCCAGTTCTCCACTGGTTCTCCTCACACCACAGCTCAATTTCTCTCCGATGGCCGTTATTTCTTCTAATCCTTGGCTGCTCCTGGTCTCTTGGATGCCTAGCAGGCTCATAATTATAAGGTTGTGGTCCGTCATATGCATTCGAATATTCATGTTCAACTTCTTCTGTGTCTTCTGTGTCGAAACTAGCATTGGGATCCATGTTTATTAATACGTTACACCGGCCGCTCTCCCCCTTGTGTCCCCCGTGTTACGTCACACGCGGGAGGTCACGTGCCGAGGCTTTTTTATGCGGAAGTGAACATTTCTTACAAAAACGACGCCAGATGTCACTGTAGTGTATATCTCTGTATATTTTTTTGAAAATCTAGTGTATTCATCATTTTCCTACACATTTATTCACAGGTGTCTTTAACCTGGAAGTTGCTCTTTAATGAAAAACAATTATAAACACTTGTACTGTTTTACAAACGCAAAAGGCTGTTTGTTTCTGTGTGATTAAAATGCTCTGCTTTCCGTCTAGCCAAATGCCTCTCAGCTGCTTTAAAATTGATCCTTCTTGGTCTTAAGTCAAATGTAATTGTACAAGAGCTAGACAATGGTTGATTAATGCCATGATGAGATGATAGGAATCTACTCACTCACGTGAGGACTGCACTCACCATGGTGATAATTAAAGGGGCCATAATATGTCAATTTTCATCATATTTGTATTTTGTGTCTCTATTTTTTACATGTCTCCATGCTTTAATGTTCAAAAAGCTCTTTATTGTTCTCATAACCTGTGCTGCAGCACCTCTTTTCACCCTCTGTCTGAAACCAGAGCCCAGTCTGCTCTGATTGGTTAGCTGGCCGGCTCTGTTGTGATTGGTCAACCCCTTAGAGATGTCCCTCCCCTTAGCCTTTCACATATAACGTGTTGGAGCTCTCGTGTCTAGTCTAGAGTGTTACAAAGTGATGATGTCAATAGTTTTTTATTCATTTCATTATTATTTTTTAAAGTTACTGTTTTTTGATTACATGTGGACATTAATTCATTTGATCATTTTTTAAATTCTAAATATGTGCATTCTGGGCTTAAACAAATGTAGACAATGCAGCCAATAACAGTGGTAAATAGATGTTGCGGAGGCGTGTGGCGCAGTGGATAGAGCGTTGGTGTTGGGATCAGGGGAGCACAGGTTCAAACCCCACTGCAGTCAGCATGTCATTGTGTCCCTGGGCAAGACACTTCACCCCAAATTGCTCGTGTGGGGATTGTCCACAGTATTGAGTATGTAAGTCGCTTTGGATAAAAGTGTTTAACAAGTAACATGTAATGTAATGTTGAGCATCTTTTTTGTCTCCTTTTTTATTATTATTAAAAAATGAAATCACATATCAGCATTTTATCCTCAACTTTGAAGCTGTTGCATTCTTAACACTGCTTACCTTCTCCATCAGATGACTACCCATCATCATCCCAAGGCGCACGCAAATGGGACAAGATAATGGTGGACATCGGCGAGGAGGAGAAGAATGAGAAGCTGGAGGGAGACGCAGCGCTCAACAAGCTCTTCCAACAGATCTACTGCGATGGAACAGACGAGGTCAAACGAGCCATGAACAAGTCCTTCGTGAGTACTTTATACTTCAGTTACGAGTAGTCACTTAAACCAGGGGTTCTCAAACTTCGATAAGGTACCCCTGATAATCGTGACAGCCTACGAGTTAGCTTATTCTTTGTTCGCGTGGATGCCATTTAAACCCTTTTTATTCTGCAGTCTTTTTAAATCTAAATACTTTTCATATTGATAAACTGAAACATATTTAAATTAATTTTGGTCTCCCGTCACTGTTCACAAAAACCTAACTATAGTTTTTGTAATTGATGCATCTTGTGTCGATCAGATCAAAGCTAACGTAAGCCCAATGGGCAAAATATGTTGTGAATTATCCTTATTTGTGGAAATGCAATTTTTAATCATATAGCACATTTTTATTATATAAGACATTATTTTGCAGGCCCTCTGAAAGGTTGCCACAAACCCAGAATTTGTGGATCACTGACGTAAAAGACAGTGGCCATAGTAGCCAACGATTGTTGCTACCAAAGATTTAGTAAGACTATATTTTTTTTGTCATAAACTTAAGCGACAAATGAAGCCATCGTGGAGGGCCAGAAACCGCAACAAGAAAATAGAAACCTGAAATGGCTCCTTAGGGCTGGCTCCAAAAATGATATGATTTATGCTGTACAACCTAAAAGTGGTGTTTTTGACCTTCAGTCATCTTTGCATTTGGTTTAAACCAGCTATTCTCAACTATAGCGAGACACCAAAGTGTCACACCCAAGTGTCAAGCTGAAAGTTTATTTTCCTCACTTCAGCTAACATAACATATTTACAGCACAATTTATTTCACATGATGGTTTTTTTCGTATCTATTTTATTTGTTAGCAATTAGAATAGGGCATAGGGTTGAGAACCCCTGGTTTCACTAGGCACACTCAGTACAGTAGAGAATATATAAGGTGAGTTCAAATAGAAATGCGCATTTTTTATTAATTATCTTCCTACTTTTACCGAAAGCTAGATATTTGTTACCGGTAAAGAAATCCCCCTTTTATATTAATACTTATGGAGTCGATGATGAGTAATCTCAGCCCTGAGCCTGTTTAAGTAGAGAGACGGTGTTGCATAACTACAGTACCCCTTGTCCTTGTGCAGATGGAGTCGGCGGGAACAGTCCTGAGCACCAACTGGACCGATGTGGGCAAGAGAAAAGTGGATATGAACCCACCGGACGACGTAGACTACAAGAAGTACTGAGCACCTCTCTCCCTCCTCCTCTCTGCCTCTCTTTGTTTGACATCATCTTTCTTCACATCTGTCCGACGGGAGTCCTTGTTGCCATGCAGTCTCGGTGGCGGTCCTCTTCCCAACCCCTCAGTTGTGCTCCGGTGTTTTCACTAAGTGCTGTGTTCCCACTTTTCACTCCTGGCCCACTCTCTGCAATAACTCGCCTAGTATGAAAAATCTGTTGAACAGATTGATTTGCAGATTTTTTTTAAAGGCCAAAGGAAAGTCTGAATTCAAATGTGACTGACAGACATGAAATTCTCCAATTCCACTTTCCCATCACTCTCCCCTCCTCTGCTCTGCTTTTCCTGGTTTTCTCAAATAATAAACGCCCGCAGCCTTTCTAGTCGGGAGCCTTTTACAAGTTCCTATTATCAACACTTGTATAAAAATGTAAAAGAAAATCAGAACAACTTGAGATGTTTAAATGATAACTATGATTGCATTTTTTTGCTCCTGCAGTTTCCTTTCTCTACGCTCAGTAAAAAGTCAACAGCAACACTCTGACTTGTTGGGAATGTTGTGTGACACGTCAGCTTAGCACCAGTCGTTCCTTCAGTGTGATTCAAGCTTCAGTGTAAATAAAAGATTTGTTGTTTGGCTCACAAACGCTGCCTTCTGTTTTGTGGTTTGTTCTCTCTGGAAAGGAAAGAAAAAAGAAAAAAAAAAGGCAATATTTGACGACATAGTGCCATGCTCTGTGATTGTGTGAAATGTGGTATTACTGATATGAGTACGGCAGGATGGGGGTTTAGGTATCGTGGTGCGATAAGTATCAACACACAGAGCCGCGAGAGTTTTGGCCAGCAGCCTCAGCGGTGGGGGTGGTGATCTACAGCAGGTACCTTTGCCCGTTCTCCAACCATATCCAGCTGCAGCAGTGAGGGGGCGTCCTGCCGCGGCATGAGGGCATTAATATGGATCAGCCTCCTAACCGCATCATCAAGCCTCTCGCGCCGAGTTAAATGCATCACACATCGTTTCATCTCTCGTGACGATCAAAAGCCCGTTTGTGGCTCTAGATGGAACTCTGAGCTCCACAACACACACACACACACACACACACTCCTCCACGATCCCTGACACACACCAAAAACACCGCCCCCATCCTTACCCCCTACCCCTGCCCGAGGCGGCTCTGCGACATCAAAAGGAGCTAAGCGCTTTGCATCGTGGGTAAGATCTGGGAGCGTGACGGCTACAGAGTCTTTAGTCTCATTAAAGAGTTCTCGAGCAGCAACTCTCACATTAAAGAACTCTGAAAACTTCCTTCTGCTCGTCACTTCGGAGCAGCACCCAGATGTGACGCATCTCAAAACTGAGAGCGATTCTGGGATGTTCCCAAATGATATGATAGGTTATTAGCGATATGTATTAACAAACAGGATATGAGGTCAATAACCAAAGGAAACCGGGGTGACACTTAAAAGTTTCCTTACAAAAAGTTTATTCAGCGATATTGCACTTTGAGATAGCATCTTCAATGCAGATGAAAGAACATTGAGATGAAAGTTCGAGAGACCGTCCGGTACATTGTTTTAATGAGCTACTCATGAAAATTAAAATAAATGGCTTGAGAACACACAAAATATTTCTCACTAGAGTGAAATTGAAACAAACAATAGGTGCTATTTAAGCCAGCTGACTGCTATTGAAATACGTTACACCATATACATTTAATTTACATTAAAGAATGAAATAAAATAAATGATTACCAGCTCTATAAATACAAGCTTAACTGCCTTTTTGTCTAGATGAATAGGTGGCATTCTACATCAAATCATTGGATGTTTTGTATCATAACCTCTGTTCTCCTGACAGCATGTTGCACTGCAGCTGAGCTGGATCTAAATCCATAGCAGGTATGTTTTTTTAATAAGACAAGCTGTGCAGCATGCAGCCATGCTTACTCCTACATGTGAGAACATGACTGTCCTAGATTCTGCTCCATGCATTTCTAATGTGTAGGCACCACTCAGTTCTGCTCAGACCGGCAGGTAACTACAGTAAATTACAAGAAGAAGCCACCAACTCCCTTGCATAGACTTATCCCATCATCCCCCCCTTCCCTTAAAATCCCATCTGCGTTGCCATATCGAAAATGTAAATACCAGAGGCGTAAAATCATTGTAAATGAGTTATAATGCAAATACAAATACGTTAATGTGTACTTTTTGTATTTTACCAAAAGTTTGTTTAGATGATTTGTTTGTGTCTTCTTTAAGCACGTTAATGTAGCTATGATGTAGCTATGTCTCATGCAAACTCTTCAAATGAAGTTGGTAGAGAAAACGACCTGTTGGGATTTATAAATATCCTAGCTTACACCAAGCATGTGAATAGATGCGTAATACAGACAGCATAGACTAAAACCAACGACTCGTTCAAAATATCGTACATTATGGCACTTTTGGTATATTTGATAATACATTGTATAGAGGGCATAAATCGTACAAAGGCGATACATATCATACATCTGGCACCACTGAACCCCGCCCCATCCTGGTATCTTCCCTCCTGGACTCTAGCATCTCCCAAGATCTTCGGGGCTGCTTACACCAGGCCCATAATGCGGGCCACCCACCAGTTGCAGGGCATGATGACTCTACATGCCACCCTGCAACCGCGGTAGTGGTACGGGTACGGGTGGTACCCCCCCAGCGGCTCGCAGATCCTCTGGCAGTGGGTGTAGCTGCGGCGGCACTCGTGGCAGCAGATGCCCTCGTGGTCCAGCATCGGGTCGATGTTCATGGAGCCCTGCTCACCCTCCAGGCCGCTCTGAGAGGAGAGGGAGAAGACAGCGGTCAGAGAGCGCACAGTGTGTGTGTGGCACTCTGCCATGTACTGTACGTCTTTAGCGCCGGGGAAGACTCTTCTCAAACCAATTAAAAATTGATTTCCGACAGGCGGGGATGGGGAGGAGGGGATGTTTTTAGATGTTGGTTTTTGTTGTCAAATATTTTCTTTTTCAACGTAGCGCTCGCTATTCAACCCCCCCCCCCCTCTGTGGTTGTCAGGAGTGTGTAGCAGGGAATGGGGGATGCTTAGAGAGGGATTAGGAAACATGGGGCCCAACATAGGGGGTAGGGACGGAAGGGCAAGGGGGTAGTGCATGTATGGGGACCCTGTGTGTGCTCAGCAGGGTGAAGGGCTGCAGTGGAGTATGGGGGTGGTTGATGGGGAATATTCAACGCCCAATGCTGAAGAGGGAAAAGCTTTTGGACAGCCTTATCATAAGAAACGATTCTCTGATAAACGGGGGGACACTGCCAGTAAATACTCAGATTTGCGAGTGACACGCCGCCCCTCCGCCGGTGACCCCGGCATCTGCTGCCGCTCGCACAGCTGTGAGAGAACTCCTCGGTGAAAGCCTTCTCAGTTAGCCCTCAGATGTGAGAAGCGTGACGAGTGGACGGTGAATGGAAACAGTAGGAGGAGTTGTGTGGTGTGAGCTCACGCTGATAGGGTTCCCGGTGTGGATCTCGGTGCCTCACACTTCCCTGCGCTGCGCTGCGGGCGGGGGCTGCCCTCCTCTTGCCTCTGTCCGCCTGCACACATCACAGTCTCAGTTTCTGACAGCAAACCAAATTGTAGGAGCCAGGGCGACTGAAGTGCTGAGTTGCACAGCCGTCTCTCCGGGCAGGCATTTTGATATCGTCAGTTAGAATATGGAATTAAAATGTTGTTTTGAAACTTTTGAACCCCGCCAGCAAGCTAAAAATGTACCACTCGCTATAGCTCTTGCATACTGCAAAAGGACTTTTTTTTTTTTCTACAACTGCGTGATGTTAAGGGAAATGTAGAGACCGGGGACTAGGGTGCAAAATTCCGTGGGAATTTTCAAAGAGTGGGAAACTGTGTCCAGCGGGAATTAACGGGAATTTTATGGGGAATAAGACTGGGGAATTCAAAATGTAAAGGTTTAGCTCGTTGCATAGGGGAACTTAAAACTATAGTTGGGGAAAGTATATTTTGAGCAGTTAGTGCTTGACGTAAAAATATAAACAGATTCCATGTTCAGAGTTACACTTGGAAGGTTATCCTATGCCATTAGCACCATCTGCTTACGGCTATGGCGTAGTGAGACCACACAAAGGTCGCAACAGGCTCACGAAAGTGTGAGAGTGGGGGAAAAAGCTGAGTTTTACCATTTCATTAAACAGTTTGCCATCAAACCAATAAGGCTCTTTGAACCGAACACAGAGCCATCCTCAACAAGGCTGGACAGTGACACTGAAGAGGAAGACTCTTAGAGTGTGAGGCCCAGGAAGAGCCCGTTGACTGAAAGGGTTTAGCAAAAATGCAGAGGGTTGCTTGAAGGAAGATTTGCATGTTTGATAGGACTTTTTGGAGGGAGAAGGGCTCTTTTCATTGAACATTTTGAATTGGACTTTGTGGGGATCTTTGGATGGGGGGTGCATTTTTTATTCATTTTTTAATGAGTGGGGTTGGGGGGGATGAGTAACATTTAACTCAACATTCCCGTTTTCGTTCTTCAATGAAAAAAATAATAGTTCAATAAAATAATTAAAAAATTGTTCTGTTCTACTTTAAAAAATATATATGTTGAAATGTCATGTTTTTTTGTTTACTTTTGCATCGAATATTTCCAAAATTCCCCAGCTTAACTTCCCATGGAAAACTTTCCGGAAATTTACCGGAAACTTTCCGCCCCTTTGCAACCCTACGTTTGACCCATATCCTCTTTGTTTCACTATTACTTATCTTAGGATTTACATTTTAATATCTTTGCTACAAGCTGTTTTGTTGCTTACTGGTTGAGTAGGTGGGTCGGAGCCAGAAGATCGGCAGCCCTCCACACAAGTCCTTTATCTTGCTGCTCAGGAAGGCGGAGTCTGAGATGGGGGCGCCAGCGGCCACCAAGATAAGATCTTCATCAAATTTGGCCGGCATCACCTCGTCCTCCTTTAAGTGAAGTGAAGAAGGTGAGGAGAAAATTAGCACACACTCAAACAAACATGACAACAAAGCGTCTGAAGACGCCTGCTGAAGGCTTAAAATCACACTTTTTTTACGGATCTTGTTACTAGCCTTCCCCTTTAAATAGCCCACAGTATTTGCATTCCGTCCGAGTCTAATCTGCATTAACGCCGTGCTGTTAATGCTCCTTATCACGACATAAAAACAAGTAGTAATAAAAAAAGCCCTTGAGGCTTCAGTACACAGATTCCCTCTTCAATAACATTTAGCTGTATACAGGATGTCAGCACTCATCAAGATCTGAAGGGGGGGAGAGGATGGCCTAAATGTGCAGTTTTCTGCAAATAAACTAATGAGGTTTCCAGAGGAGAGACTGTGTAAACAAATAATCTGTATCAACAGCCTGCAGGTGAAAGGGGAATTCTGTGGGGATGATTTGGCCCTGAGGCATTTGTTCCTGAGGGGTGCAGCGCACTAGCCACAGCCATGTTTAAGGGAACGATATCCTCCAACCTTTCAGAAATGCAGTTTTTTTCTCTTCTCCCCCAACTCAAATGGTTTGCTGGAGGGACAAATAGAAGCGGGGGTCCTTCTCCACTGATAAGAGATATCTGACCCACTCTCTCTGGATGGGGACACATATGTGTGTGTACATGTGTGTGTGCTTATCTAACCCATATTTGCCATCACTCTAAATTATAGCAAATGACCAGCCTGCAGCTACCATTACAGCAACATCTCCCTTTCTCCACACAGACACACACACACACTCACACACACTCACACACACACACACACTCACACACACACACACACACACACACTCACACACATACACGAATGTGAGCCAAACGATCATTTATGAGGCAAAGGGAGGCGATAACACAAACACACACAAAAGCACAAACGTGAAATAAATGATCTGTTATGAGGCAGAGAGAGGCAATAAGAGCAGCCCTGCGTGATAATTAATTGTGTGTGTGTGTGTGTGATAGTGTGTGTGTGGACTCTATCAGCGTTCACTCCATCTTACCACTTTCCTCCCATTGTGATCCTCAAAGTGCCCCTAGTCCTTTGAGT